TGTAGATGTAAAATTTAAGTAAAAACTTAGTGCCGTAGTAATTAGAAAAAATCCGATGATGTCGCGGGGACTCATTTTTATATACAGAAGCAAGAAGGGGCACAATTAATTCCGGGAGCGTAAATTGTTCAGTTGAACATATTATGTTTGAACACGAGGTGAAGTAAGGCCAAACTGTATGATCGTACAAACGTAGTACGTGTAGTATATACAGTTAGTATGCTTTTATATAGATGATGTATAATAATGGATCTAAAACGGTTCCTTGCAGGATAGCATATATTACAGTATGAAGGTCACTCAGGACTCCATCCTAAGCTAAGCACTTTTCCTCTTATACCATAATGATGTAGAAGGGCAGAATTATAAAATTTAAAGTCTATTGTAAAGAGAATTGTAAGATTTTTCAAAAGAAATATTACTCAACCCCCAATACCATTTAAATATTTTGGGGTGATGCTTACCCTTGCTTGGGGGTGAAAGTGGCGGAGTCAAAAATACCAGCAAAGAATGTTTAATCTAAAATCGACGGGTCTGAGCGTTTTTCTACAATCTTGACGCAGTTCCTGAAAATGGCTCTGTTTCGTTTTCATTTGGCCACCCTGTATAATGTCGAACTCTTACAATAAACCAGTAAATATATTGACAATTATTTGATTTTTTTATCTAAAGCATTGTATACAATTAATGTCAAATATTGCATTTGTTGATCTCTTACTGATTTTCCCTCTCAAATGCCAAATTGACGATCAGATATATTTTACCTTTTTAAAAATTTATAGTTTGATTTATTTTTCAAAAATAGAAATAGCAGGATTAATAAATCGGAACAATGGAACCAAACTTTAGAGCTAAAAATTAAAAGGTGTAACTACAGAATTATCAAAACGATTTTCGTTATGACATTTGTAGGCATTTTGCTCACCAAAGCAATATCAAAAGCAGTGTTATTTAACTTCTTACACAGTTCATTGGTTTACTGTGCTACCAAAATAGAACTAGACGCGTTTTTCTTGCATTAATCGCCTCATATTTCACTGAACATGATTTATGCGTCCATGCCCAGTGCTGAAATCTTTAAACCACTTGCCGTTAACAGAGGCTAAATATTTTCTCAGTTTATTTTATTATTATCAATTATAAATTACAACACGTACCCAAAGGTGTAAATTTACTGTTTGCTTGGTTCTCTAATTACCGAAGTGAAGACTTTAGGAAATCCTTCGAATTCCTTTGGGACGGGTGCGTTTCCTTTAAATGTGTTGTGACGTTTTTGTTACTTTGAAATGTTGACGATTTATAGGAGGTTAACGCGTAAGTTTAAAACAAATTTAAAACGTAAACAGTTCGTGTTATACAATGTTATACAATGTTTGTTATCACTTGTCTTTTATTGGAGGCATAACTAACAATGTTGGTAATTAAAGAAACCAAAAAAAATCAAATCCCCATCAAAATAATTTGCCAACATTAAATCAGAAAAGACGATACAATGGAATGAACCAGTCACCAAATATAACACCAATTGATTTTTTTTATGGAATTATTTGAAACTTGAAGTCTACGAACTACAGTAGTCGTCCTTTTTTCATAAAACTATGTAGTTCTACAAGCTGTATTTGTAGAGTTTCAAGGATCATGTGCAACGCCAAAGCCTGAAGCCACATCAACCAAATCTTATTACATTTAAAATTAATGGTGGAAGATCAGAGAAGCCCTTGAAATTAGTTTACACTACCTTGCGCTTATAAAAGCGTAGTTAACTCCGCTATTGGATCTTTTAAGCTTTTAATTGCCCTTGTCCAAGTTGCCGTTTGTCGGTCTGGCCTTTTGTTAAGTTCGGAGTTATAATATCGTCTGGAAATATCCGTCTAAGGATACCGGGGTCGTGCGACTCGTTTATTAGTTTTAGCGTTTATGATGTTGTTGCACATACAAAGTAGACATGGAAAGGGGCAAAATAAACCGTCAAATATTGTTCATTTATTTATAGATTCTTCAAAATGTTATGAAGTAAAGTAAAAGTAAACAAATTCAAAAGCATTTTCAGCACTTTGATCCCATTCAATGTTAATTTGTAACATTTTGTTACATATTGCTCGTTGCTTGATTTGCAGGTTTTCCTGGCAGTTACCAAAAGTCAATAGAAATTGGATATCTAGAGTCGTTAACGATGTTGTTTTTCGCCAATATCGGTCTACCTCGCATGTCGAATGCGGTTAACTTCAAGAAAGTGACGTAGGGTCTTCTTGGAATTATATCTCAACAAATTAGTATCGTACGGACTGTATTTCAAATAATTTTTGTACGTACAAAAGTCAAGCGAATGAAACGCTATACAGGGTGTCCGGAATTGCACATACCAGACTTTCCCTGGTGACATAAACTCGGGGTAACGATTTAACTAACTCAGTTAACAATTGGCGCAGATGGTAGAATATGTCGTATCTAAGAACCCCAGAATTTCGACACCTCTAAATATTGTAGAAATGTATTTAATTCCAGTTGATGCTTCAAAGGAAAATATTTTCGATTTTAGTAGAAAAACGAGTCATTTTTTCATATATATTTTTTTGTTAATTGAAATAAGCCTTTGATATTGTTAAATAAATTGAAAATAACTTAAAAATTGTCCGTTTCATAAAAAAAATATAAGAATTATTTGTAAGGTATTAAATATTAAATATGATGAAGCATGAAAACTCGAAGAAAATCATTCGGTAGGAATTTTAAATTTTCTGAGGATAATACTTAATAAAAAATGTAAAATTGCTACGATAGAAAGAAAATCAAAATAATTTCAACTGAGAGGAAGATCCAGAAGTATCTTTAATTTGATAGTGGTTCATTAGTCAAAGTCAAAGAAATATATGTATCGATCAGAGAACTAGATCTCAAGATTTAAACATTTTAAATTAAAAAGTGTTATAGGTCAAAACTGATAATTGCTGTGGATACGAGTTATTTTTGACCTCTGGAATAAAATTCCGGTCATAAAAATACCATGATAATAGAAGTGTAATATGTTAGTGACTGAAATGTGATTCATGTAAAAGAATGTTGAAGTTCTTTTAAAATGTGAAGTATTTTCAATGCATTACTTATTCATTTTACGACTATATTCAGGAAATTATTATGTTGTATTTTATATTTCCTTTTCTTTTGAAGCGATGTGATAAATCAAGTTTATTTCATTGATGTTTAGCTGAGAACGTAATAAATAATTTAAACGATGTGAAATCTGCCTATAATTTTTTACTTCACGTTTTTATTATCTTAAAGTATACATATCATTTAAACTATGATAATGTCAATACCGCAGTTAATAGTAATAAAACATAAAGTTAATTAAGGAAAACATACATTCTTTGCTTTACTAACTAGTAATTACATCTCACTGTTTAAATAGATTAATAGTGGATAATCAATTTAGTTGCTATGAAATTTATGCGCCTATAATTATGAAACTTCTCAGTTCAGTGCCAACTTATAGAGACAGCCGTTGATTTTGTTGATTTAATTCACATGGTTCATCATGTTGATGTGCTAACAAGAAGTAGGAACTAGCAAAAGTATCATGTAACTTATGAAGACATGTCTATTAAAATAACATTTTTTAATACCTACTCATTTGAGTACAACATTTCTTCAGAATTAGTAATGTAATTATGAATTTAATTATTAATAAACATAATTTGTAACAAAGCTTAAATAGTGGTTCTTCTTTCACAATAAAAAAACAAATAGTGACTGCTTTTTGTTCTTACATTCGAAGTCGAGGAAATGTACGAGGTCTGTTTAGAAACTTCAAAAAATGCGACGATAAAATCTAGCTTCTGAAGATTTTATTAACAAATAAAACCATAGACAGCGCTCTTTTACACCCGAAGTTGAAGACATAACAGTTTTAAACTTTACACTATAACAAGCTGTAAACAAACTTTGAATAAAACGTAACGGGTGAAATTATAATTCAGTGTCAAAATAGTAATCAGCATTTTCATCATATGGACGACGGATAGGCTGTGCGGAAATAGAAATTCCAAAGGCGTAACATTTTAGAAAATGCAAAAAATTATTAAATGTAGAAAAGCAAATAGATATGAAGATTTGGGCAAAACCTACCTTAAAAGTTTACACTCATCTTGGTACCCCACTACCAACAGGTAGGTAGGTACTCTTCTATTTATATTGAGATGGCCTACTACTATTTGTATAGACTTTTTCTCTTTTTTATTATTAGACATAGCCAGAGCTTTCGCTAACTGGACAATTAATTAATTAATTAATTAGGTAGTATTGTAACAATAAAACGACACAAAATCAGCAAAACTACGAAAAGTCTATTATCACTGAAAAATTAGATAAACTATAGGTAAGACACTAGGAGCAACATTATCACTGTCACTAACGCTATCACTGCTGTTGCCTAAAGGTATGGTAAGGGGTTATATTACATCTTCTTCAAATCTAATTTAGAAGTTGTGTTATATCATGCCACATAAGTTTTTATATTCACCCATAGTTCAATGTGATTCACCTCATGGTGGAAGTAGCAATCGAAATGAGCTTTAGCAATTTCATTCACTACCTACTGTTTCATGCATTTGACTTTTTCTTTTTATGCAACTATTAATAATTGCACTTTCAAGGTCGACACTTTTTAGTCAGTATGTTTTCCATTCAACGATTTCATGATTTTTTATATTTTTTTCAAGCAGTTATTGGCAATGTAAACCATTATCCAAAGATTGGCAACCACTTCCAATATGTGTAATTATTAAACGTTGTCCTTTACCAGAGGACTGTGCCTTAATCTCGTAGATCCTTCTAAAAATGCGTTTTGTGAGCTGTTGATATTTACACCTTGCAAACCTGGAAGGTTGAATAGCTTCCATTTATCCATTTTTCATAGAAATAATACATTTTCGACACCGTTACTTCTTCTACTGTGACATTGTATATTTATTAGTGTATCAATTTTATATTTTTTATTTCAGTGCTCAAAACGAACTCGCCAGACTCCAGGAAAGCGAGTTCAGGGGGTTCTGGTTACGCTAGTGACAAACACGACGACAGTCCCGGCAAGGGCGTGTGCTGCCCCACGTGTGGCTCTCGAGCGGAAGTTCCTCCAGGTGGGGTGTCGTCGTTTCCCCCGAATTATACATTACAACACCGAATGGTTCTGGCAACTCTCAATTCCCAGTCCACCCATCTGCTGTGTGATTTGTGCACGTCAGATGTTTCTGTAAGTATGGGAATAAACAACATTGATCATTAGTAATGGGTGTTAGACAATTGTTTTCCAACCCACACCTGAAAAAACCTTATATAATACTGTTTTCTTTTATTTTCATAATACATTAAGTCTTTCCGTTTGTTTGTAAATAACATGATATTAATTACAATCTCAACGTAAAAAAAATATTTAAATAATAAAGAAAGTAGCTTGTTGATTATGAAAATAAATATGCACACATATATTTGTCCCTTTTAGGGATCTTAGTGTCGGCAACCCATATTTTGTTTTTTTATTTTGCGAATTCCGTTCGCCTTTGTGGACTTAGAAATCATTCACCATAAAACGGTATAAGTCCCACCCACCTTTCATCATAAAAATATGATTAGTTCAATTTTCACCATACTTTCACTGATAGAAGGCGTCCTGAAAGTATCTACTAATTTCTTGGGAGCATATATTGGAGACCAAAATAATACTGCTTAAAAGCATTAATCCTTTCTTCCTAATATTTTTGCTAACGGATATATCGGGTCTCAAAGGGTACCTTTAGGTTTATTTACGTTTCGGATTCTACCTTTGAAACAACCTCATATATTTTGAAATAGTGTCATAAATAAGGCTCCATGATTTGTTGTTAGTATCGATCTTTTACAATTACCAGGTCTCCAGAAAACGGACTACTCCAACACAATTTATTTTAATATTATTTTTAGATACTCTTTTTTTAAAACAGGAAAACAGATACCTACCCTATTTATTTCGATAAAATAATAGTTTTCGAGATAAACTGGTTTTTGAAACAGGTAGCAATAACCAGTTATTTTTTACAAAAAAAACATAAACAAACATTTACATTTCGTTTTGTATTTTGCATCATGTAATAGTAAAAGATGGGTTTTATCAACAAATCACGATTACTTCTCTGTAATATGTCCCAATTTTATCAATATATACAAGGCAGTTTTAAAGTTAAGACCCAAAAAACAAATAAATGTCTAGGTACTCCGTAGAGACAGATATCTCAGTTAGCGGGAACATTGTAGGGAGTAGAGGGTTATTTGTTTCAGAGCTGTTTGGAGGTCTGTACTTACAAATAGTCTGACTTCATAAATAAGATAGTCATATACAAACTCCATAATTGTATCGTTTTCTTCTTGGAGAAGATACAGACCATAAAATATTTATGCTTAGCATTTGTGCCATCAAAATGGTGTTAATTTGCATAAAAAGGAGAGCTATAAATAATATGTTTGTTATGAGTATGGAAATTAAATTAAAATCTTAAATTCAATATTAAAAAATAATAGAGCAAATAAAAAAGTTGTGACCTTTTCTGAACCCATTGCCAAAAGGTATTGTTTTTCGAATTTTCGTCAATAAGGGATTAAAAAATGCACTTACTAAAATATGTAAATAAATAAATATTACAGAAACTCATAAGTACTAATCCAATTAATTAATGACTAAACTTCTTTATGAGATCATAAATTTCAATTTAGTAACGTGATACTCATAATAAAGCAATTTTCAAAGTTCAACTAGTTAATAAGTTCAAGTTCAGTAATTTAAAAGAAAACATCCAACATATGTCACTTTTGTGTGTCTGTTTTGGTCTGGTCTCAATAAAGAATGACAACGCTGAAAAATATAATTAGTAGATATTTTTCCAAGCGCCTAACTTCCCAGTTGGCTGAAATATTTCATATTTCGGACAATTAGATTCATTTTTAATTATTCCTGACTTACACTTATGGTGTGAAGTCAAGGTATTGTATTTATTGATCGACTTCTGTTCTAAAACTATGAAAATTCATCTTAAAGACAGTTTTATTTTTAGGCAATTTCCAGGTGCATGGAATGTGCAATTAGTTTTTGTGATCACTGCGAAGAGGTACACTTAAGGCAGAAATCTTCAGCAGAACATGAGGTCTTAAGTTTAGAAAGGGCGAGAGAAAAGGGCATCACCAAGGTCCGGAGACAAATCATGTGTTTGAAACATCCCGATTTGGAGCTGTCTATATTTTGCTCTTCTTGCTATCAAGTAAGTTTAATTATCTCTTTATATTATCTATAAATTTTGGTGTTTATTAATAATTTAGTTAATTTTATAATTAAAAACTAAATTTTTTCACATTGACAGCTATTTTATTTATATACGCACACAACGTATAGTTTCTATCTTCATTGGATCCCAAAATATTTGGAGATGTAACAAAATTTAACCTTTGTTACCAAAAACAAGGTCTTCAGGTAAACGTTTATAAGAAAAAAAGTCTTAAATTTGGAGCAAAACTTAATTTTTAACTCGTTGAGTTATTTGAAATAACTTTTCAGTAACCATGTCATAGGTATAATCCTGATTTCGTTTTGTCTGTGTTCCTCCCACATATTCAAATTTAGTGCGATACAATCTTCCCATTGAAAATTTCAACAAAATCTAATCAATGCTATTAGAGGTAATATAAGATCGGTTTTGCAATAAACCGCCCTTAAATTGAAAATTGAACTGTACCTTTTCATAAACCAAGTTTGAACTGAACTAAGTAAAGTTTATTTTAAGCCACCACAATTAAAGGTTTTCAAACACAAATTTAAACTTCGTTTTGCCACCTTCTAACGTAACTTTTGTAACATTACGTTCTGCGTTGTTTTTGTATCTTATTTAAATGAAATAATTCACATTTTTATTTTTGTTCAAATCCCAATCAAAGGAATTTTATAATTTATCAGTGATAAAACTAGATCGTATGACGGAAGACCGTGCATCTTATTTTTAAAGTTTCATGCTCTCACCTTTTGATTTTTATAAAAAAATTTCAAAATTGCATCTCTATAGCAACTGACAGAAGAAATGGTGTTGAATTCAGATTCTACTTTTCTCAAGTTTTATTTTTCTCTCGTATCTTTTTCGTGATATGAAAAAATTGCATTTCTCTACGTTATTTCTAATCGATTTTTACTTTATTTTTGTTCACAGCTACCGAATTTATATCGTTATTTTTCCATGATTACAACGCAGAATATGAATTTTCAGAAGCGGATATTAAAAATGTATGTTATTAAGGTTATGGTTATACTTAATATGAAATTGAAGTGAGTCGCGAGATGATTAGAGAACCAATTTTTTTAGAATAAAATTCTACTCATTTAACAGTTTTCTTAAAATGCAGGTGGTGCAATATATAAAAAATAAATATACTTAAATATTTAAGCAAATATATATTTTGTACAAATTGCCCTTAGAGTGTAACTGCTGAGTTTTTAGAGAAGATTCAATGCGGATAACACTATTTTTTTAGAAACCTACTAGAACTCGATTTTCCTAACTTTTTTTTAGTTGCAAGAAGTTTAGGCATATCAAATGTAACATCGTTAGAATTCAGTAGCACCTAACAGTTCTGCAGGGATCAGTTCTCCAGCCTCTATTATTTATTATATTCATAAATAATATACTTATTAAGAAATATTTAAACTCATAATGTGCTATACGCTCATGCCGTAAACTGTTTGTATCTATCGACTGCATTCAAGACTTTTATAGTTTGCAGCAAACAGAAATTAATGTTGTGAAAATAATAAATTGCAATTAAATTGATCTAAGTACAATATTATGAATTTATGAATAATTACAGTATAGGGTGATTCCGGAGGAATGGGAAATATTGAAGCGGTAAATTCAGGAGGTCAAAATAAGAAAAATAAACCAATAAGTTATAGTCCCAATGTCAACTATTGTTAAAATAACTAAATATTATTATTTTTTTATACAACAAACTTTCTTCTAATAGTCAGGCCTGTTTTTTTAACAAATTAATCACATATAACCGTGCAAAAAAATCGCTTGCGCAATTGTCAAATAAACATCTTGAAGATGGCGATCATGTTCCAAGGTTACAATTTTGTGAATGGATTCGTCAAAATCCTACAGTATTTGATATTTTATTCATTGATGAGAATCAATTCACTCTTGATGGTATAAAAAATAATTTTCACAATGAACACCGATGGTCAGAAGAAAACTCTCACGCAACGCTTGAACGCAATTTTGAGCATCGATTCAGCATCAATATTTGGTACTGCGTAATCAATGGTCAGTTAATGGGTCCATTTGTGTTGAATATCTACAATTCCTAGAAGATAATAATTGCAGAAATTTTAGAGGATGTTCCTCTAAATGTTCTACTTCCAACATGATGGGGCCTCTCCCCACTTTACTCTGCGGGTACAAAATTTTTTAAACAATCATTTTTCTAGACGCTGGATTGGTATGGGGTCCAACAAATTGGCCAGCAATGTCTCCAGACCTAAACCCACTCAATTATTTTGTTTGGGAGTGGATGAAATCGTTAGTTGATCTTGATCGCATTATGAATGCGGTCGAAGTAATAAGAAATAATCGCGATGCTATTGGTCGTGCTATTCGCAACATCAATAGAAGAGGAAACAAGTGCATTGAATGAAGTTGGTGGCGGTATTTTTGAAAATGTTCTTTAATTACACAGCCACACAAAAAAAAAGTTGGGTATACTTTTTATGCGACATATATTTTTCGTAGTAATTTGGCCTCCTGAACACGAATCTGGGATCAGAATTGGCCCATCACGTCACAATTTTTTCCTAACCTCAAAAAACTTGTGAAAAATATTAAAAATTGATGAAAATTTACTGGGAAAATTTGGAACAAAAATTATTTCCACTTCAAATAGTACATTTTTATGTAAAAGACTCTGCTGAATTCAAATCCACTGTCAGAATTGAGCTAGAACGTGTGGTTTTTTTTCTGACCTCAAAAAACCGAGCAGGAATCGCTATTTTCAAA